CTCTCTCAGCTCCCCGGTAAACCAGGGAGCCAATTGAGATCTGCGCCGGGTCAGAGGCCGCAAAGGCACGACTCGGTCCAATGCTGCGGCAGCGGCCGTCTCCCAGGCCGCCGCCAGATTGTCAACCGAATCGTGAACTAGGTCCTCAGGATATGGCCCAAGCTCCGTCAGGAACCTCTCCGGGTCCATCAGGCGCCTGTATACGGGCAGTCCTTGACTTACAACAGTTCGTTCGGTGACCGTTCAGAGTTACAACAGCACGAAAAAAAAGTGGCTTACGACCAATGGTGGGATTCAAATAGGGGAACAACCGGTTCTCTGTGTGGATGCCGCTTCTGGAAGTCCGTTCTGGGCCTGGGCAACAAAAAATGAGCTCCCGGTTCTGCCGAAGTGGTGGGAACCGGCTGAATCATTTCTCTCTATATATATCTATATCTATACCTATACCTATACCTATATCTATCTGTCTGTCTATCTATCTATCTATCCATCCATCCATCCATCCATCCATCCATCCATCCATCCATCCATCGTCCGTCCGTCCATCCATCCATCCATCCATCCAGTGGTGGGATTCAAATAGGGGAACAACTGGTTCTCTGTGTGGATGCCGCTTCTGGAAGTCGTTCTGGGCCTGGGCAACAAAAAATGAGCTCCCGGTTCTGCCAAAGTGGTGCGAACTGGCTGAATCCCACTACTGCTTTTTCACACTTATGACTGCTGCGGCCTCCCCATGGTCACATGATCGAAATACAGAGGCTTGGCAACTGGCGTGTATTTGGGACGGTTGCCACGTTCCAGGTTATGCGATCCCCTTTTGGGAGCTTCTGACAAGCCAGATTCACGTCACAACCGTGTTACTAACTTCACCACTGCAGTGATTCGCTTAGCAACCGTGGCAAGCAAGGTCGTAAAACGGATCAAGGCTCACATAACAACTGTTTTGCTTAGCGACAGAAATTCGGGGCCCGACTGTGGTCATAAGGCAAGGACTACCTGTATGCATTTATGTTACATAGCCACAGGGCAGGGGTAGGCAACCTCGGCTCTTTTATGACTGGTGGACTTCAACTCCCAGAATTCCTGAGCCAGCATGGCTCACCTTGGAAGCCTCTCCCTTTCCCCTCAGCATGGCTGGCTCAGGAATTCTGGGAGTTGAAGTCCATGAGTCATAAAAGAGCCGAGGTTGCCTACCCCTGCCATAAGGGAAAACAGGCTGGTATAATTGTGAAAAGCCCCGGGTGAGAAACCAAGAGACGCCGAGTTCCAATCTTGCCTGAGATTCAGCTTTCTGGGCAATCCTGGGCCAGAACCTCTCCCTGGCCCCCCAGGAAGGAGGAGAGAAGGGCAAACCACCTCCAAAAATCTTGCCAAGGGAACTTCTCCAGGTCTTCTCCAGGAAGTCTCCAGGAGTCAAGACAGGCTTGAACCCAACCCAAATCCTCAAGAGGGAATGCAACGTATCTCAGAACCTTCTCTTTTCAAACAGAACAGTCGCTCCCATGAGCAACTAAGGGTTGCCCACACTCATTGCTCATATACATAACGGTGAGGAACACTTACATTGAGAACTACACATTGTGAACTGGTTATATTGTGCTGCCTGCTTGCTGGGTTGCTACCACACACCACTTTCCTCACATCAATGTTGGCTACCAGGTAGCCAGTCCATGAGAATTAGCGGCCCTGGCTATGGATTTCCAGGTTATTTATTTGGGTTTACGTCCCGCCTTTCCACTTAGCTGGAGAATCTGAAGAGGCTGACGGAGTAACACCTCAAGGACATTTGCTGAGGGTCCCCAACCTACAACCTCAGAGATTAGAAGGGGGGGGTGCATGGTCCAGATTGCAGACCTCTGAAACCCTCCAGCCCTGGGGTCCTGTGCTCCCCCCCTCCCTCATTTAAAAAATTCCAGAAACAAAACTTACGAAAATAAAAAAAGCATTCTGAGTTCACCATTTAATCCGGCTTCCCCAAAGTTACTTTACGCATCAGAATGGGTGGACAGCGGTCTTAAATGGTTCCTTGTACCCCCCACACAATCATTTCTGGGCTCCCTTTAAGACATTTCCAGCTAAGAACAACTTTATGAATTCCAAAAACTGGTCTTTTTATGTAGCCAAAAAGAAAAAAAAAGAAAAGACCTGGTTTTAAAACGAGGCATCCTGAAGAACGGATGTTAAAAGGGGAAGAAAGGAACAGAATGAGAACAGCCAGAAAGAAGGAAGCAAGGAAATTAAAACGGTGTTTCTTTCTGTGACAAAATGGAGGGGATTTTCTCACACACACACACACCCCAAATACACATCCACGTGTGCACGTATTCTGCGAGATGATGATGAAGAAGAAGTAAGGAGCAAAAAGGGCCTTTGTTCACAAGGCCTGGAGCCGGTCTCTGCCTTTCTGGATCCGTCTCCACCTCCTCCTCCGACGGGGAGGATGATTCACCAACCAAAAAGGTTACGGTCCTTCTAAGCGCCTGGAGAAAAGCTTAACATTTAATAAGCTAAATTGATTTTTAAAAGGTACCAATTACGGCTTGCCTGAAATGAAATCTCTGCCCCCTGAATCCCTTTTCCAACTCTTTTCCAAGAACCTCTTAAAAGCTCGGCTGCTGAGCAGAAACGGCTCCCGTATTTTGGGCCCGGCCTGCCCGGCCTTCGGGTGGCCGAGGGGGTGGACCCCGTCGCCCTCTGGGAAAGCGAAGGAAGCCATCTTGACATTCTCCCCCTCCCCCAGCACGAAACACCCCTCCCCCTCCCCAACTTTCCCTAAATTTTCCTCAACAGACCGGAAACGATGCGTTTTTGGAGTGTTTCATTCCTGGAGAAATTGCAATGCGCGTAAACATATAAACACCCCTGGGGTCTCAGGTTATACAGGTAGTCCTTGACTTACGACCACAACTGAGCCCAAAATTTCCACTGCTAAGCATTTAAGTGAATTTTGCTCAATTTTAGGACTTTTTTTTGCCACCGTTGTTGTGAATCACTGCAGTTGTTGGGTGAATCCGGCTTCCCCATTGACTTTGACGGCCAGAAGGTCGCAAAAGGGGATCACGTGACACACACACACCCCAGGACACGCTGCGACCGTCGTAAATACATGCAGGTTGCCAAGCGGCTGAATTCTGATCACGTGACTGTGGGGGAGGCTGCAACGGTCGTTTAAGCGTGAAAAATGGTCCTAAGTCGCTTTTTTCAACGCCGTTGCAACTTCTGACGGTCACTAAACAAACGGTTGTAAATTGAGGGCTACCCGTAAACCATACCACAAATAATGAATATGTTTGGCCTTCAGCAAAGGCAGAGGCTGGCTA